GCCTGTGACATGCATATCCTTCAAATACAAAAAGTAAAAAAAATCATCTTAATATTTAAGAAATTTGACATAATACACACAGTTTTACCCATTTTGTCTTGTAACTGGCAGATTTTCTTCTTAACTTGGCTAAACTAAAATGAAACAGGAAGTGACGTCAAAGTGAAACTCTTTGAGGATGAAAATTCCCTGGTCTTTGTTTGTTGAAACAATATGATTTGAACTCTGACACGTCTTCATCTCTCGTTAATAGATACTTAAATAACCTGAAAATCATCACATTCTTCTCTACAGTCTGTGTTGTCAGACGTAGCAGTGCTCTGTTCACATTCAGACATTCCCCTTTGACATCACTTCCTGTTACTTCACGTATAAATATCTCAACACCTTTTCTTCTCAGTGGCGTGAAATTTTATTTGCAATATTTAATGATTATTATCTTTCCAAAAATCACTTCATATATATTTTTTATTTGATGTCACAGACACTTTAAAATAGTACCTCTGAATAAAAACAACCAGAATAAAAGAAATGTTTAAAAGTGTTGTCTTATTGTTTTCATACAGTTTATTTGTTCATTTATTTATTTTCTAGAAATACATACCCCCTGCTCCGACCACCACTTTATCTGAAAAACGGGTATCTGGACATACAAAAATGCTTATAACTCAGAAACTATTCAACAGGAGCTTCAGGTCTTTTTTGTTTCCATTTGGCCCACCAATTTATACAATTTATTYAAAAAAAAGGGAATATTTCTGAGAAGTTTGAGGATTATTTTATACCAAATTCTGATGTTTGCTCACATCAGTCTTTAAATCATCATATAACATCTTTTATTCTGGACTTTTGCTACTTTTGCCTTTTATGTAATGTTTTGTTGCTTTTAACTTCTACCTAGCCTTTTCCTACTTTGGCTTTCAGCAAGTTTTTCAGCTAGTGTTGTTGTGTTATTTAAACTTTAACAGTTTCAGCTTCTTCAGCAAAATATTTATGCAGAGAAAGCAGTTTCTGCAGTTTTTTTCTCCTAAATATAAAAATGCATTAAAGATTTTGAAGCATCCTGAAAATGACTCTCTCTCTCTCTCTCTTTTTGGCAAACTCTTTCTACAGATTTCCTGTCAGATGAAAGTCAGCATACAAAACATATTCAATGGTAAAGACACACATACACCAACATGTACATGTAGCTGAAGAGACTTGCAGCTCAGATTATGAAGCTGTTCTGTTTGTGCCTGTCTGCTCTGCAGGATGAGAGTGATAACACACTATACTGTCTCTTTGGTCTCGTTTGCTTGTTGCTACATTAATGTTAAAAACATTTTATTTAGGTGTAATTTTAAAATGTTTCTTACACAAATGACAAAAAACACATTTAAATTCTCTAAAATGTTTTTTTATGTATCAGTAAACACAAA